AAAAAAAAAAAAAAAAAAAAAAAATGTTATTGAACATAAAAAAAAAAAAATCACTGTTCTCAACTGGGATAAACTTCTATTTCTTTGCTGACATCTCTTGTTTTCTGAAATGTGTCCAGAAAATGTAATGTTTGTTGAAAATCTTCATTGGGCTCTTGTTAACAACCCAGTGTTTTGAGGCTGGCGTCAACTGAACATCTTTTCTCATTTAATATGATTGTTTTGGTTCTTAGTATAGTTCTTAAGGAGTTTCTACTGTATTTTAGACCTCTTGGCTATCACATTAAGAGACTCTGAGTCCTACTTAAACCTCTCACAGACAGAAAGAAATATTATTCAACTTTAGCACATTTTGGCCTAATGGAACACTTCATTTCTAATGATAACTGTTTTCAATATCATTTTGATATGTTTGGTTTATATGGTAACACTGGACTCCTGCTGCTGTCTGCTAGTTATTTCTGTGAGGCAGAAGGGAATCTCCCAGGTTAGACCACCTGAAAGTAGGAAAGGGCTATCTCCAGCCTTCAAGGACAGAGTCTTCCAATTTGGAGTATTTTATTACAGCAGGATCTCCCTTGCTGGTACTACCTGGCTGCTCAGCGTTAACTACAAGAGAGGGATCCCCAAGCCACAGGGATCATAAGCCTGTTGGGGCAGGGTCTTACCAGCCAATGGCTAAGTCCTCTACATGAAGAGAAAAAGGAACTTTCCATGTTAGGCTACTTATTGGGGTAAAACCCTTTTCACTGTTGTCTCTAAGGTGGAAAGAGGAGTCTCTGGCTCCTAGGAGAAAAAGGCTTCCTGAGCCTGGTGCTTCTTGTCATGGCTCTCTTGTGTTGAAGCCAGTGAGATGCCTGCTGTCTCCTGGTAGGGAGAGAAATTAGTAGCCTGAGGAGAAAGGAGAGCCCTTGCCCCTGTCCATTTATTATCCAGAGCTCCAAGCCAATTTCCTTTCCAAGTGCTGCCAGAATTGCCTGGTATTCTGGAGAGTTCTGTGTTCGATATGAAGAGTGAGTCTCCCTGGCCCACCCTCTGTCGCTGGGCTGGATTCAGAAACACGGCCTGTGTCACCCTCTGACTGTGAGGCTGTAGGTCCCTCCCACTATCTACTTTCTGCATCTCCAGGGTTCCTAACTGTCCCTTCCACTGTTCATGGCTCTCCTCTGAGTGCCTCTTATTACAGTCTTTCCCAGACTCATAGTTATGTAAGAGGAGAAAAACAAGTTCATGTCATCATATCTGAACTCAAAGTCCTTGATTCTCCATTTAATTTGTGGAACCAAAATAAGACCAAAATGCTCTCACCCCAAAACTAAAGGCCTAAGACTGTAAAGGCCTAAGACTGCTCCTTTTAGCTACAGGCCATAAGTTACTGGAACAGGCCAGAAGTTACTGAGACCAGTCAGTTCAGATTCCAGAAACCAGGAAGTGTAAAAG